TATCCACACAATATTAGGAAAAAATCTACAGGAAAAATTGTGAGTGAATGGATGAGCGATGGATATTATAGGTTATGTTTAAACGGTCAAAAATACTTCAAGCACAAACTTATAGCAGAACAATTCATACTTAACCCAGACAACTTACCTCAAGTAGACCATATAAATCATATACGAACAGACAATAGAATAGAAAATTTAAGATATGTAACATCACAACAAAACAATAAAAACAGATGTAAAGCAAATGGTATAAATTATAACTATGTAGATGAAATTGGTGAAAACTCCATTGAAGTTAAAACATATGGAAAACATGAGTTCGATGATTTATACTATGACCCAGAACAAGACCTCTTCTATTTCTTTAATGGAATTCGCTATAGAGAGCTTCATGTAATGGAAAACAATAAATGTGGAACTCTGTATGTAAATGCATGGACTGTAAAAGGAAAACTTACAAAAATTTCATACAGTGCATTCAAACGTCAATATAATCTTATATGACCTCACTGCTGACAAAAATAAATGACCTCATTATTTTTCTCATTCATGTTCTCAGAACTTAAGCTTTCTTATGAATGAAGTCTTAGTCTGAATAGAAAAGTTAAACTTTTCCTCAAATGCAAGTGTAGCAGACTTACATAAGTCAAATCCAATCTCTTGACCGTCATAAAGTGCTTTGTAAAGTTTCATTAAACTGAACTCAGAGTCTTTGTCATATGTTCCAACAGGTATGTGAATGTTCTTATCTTCATTGTAATAGCATTGTATAGCTTCAGGAAACATTTCATTTGCTGTTAAAGCAAGGACGTCTTGTTTGACACCTTTGCAACGTGCATGGAATGCAACTTCATTTAAATCGTTAGTGAGTAAGTCTATGTAAGTCTTCTTTCCACAAAATATTGACTTGTATGCTAAACTTTGTTTTCCAGGTGTTATTTCTGCGAAGTCAGAATGGAACTGACCTAATGTTTTACCAATAAGTTCTCTACCGTATCTCTTCTTAAACTCTGCTGCAAGCTTTGGTATGTCTTCATTGAAAATATGCATGCTATCACAGTCCTGGTAAAATATTTGAAGTCCCATATCTTCTGCAGTACAGAATACTTCGTTCATTATTCTCTTCGACATTGACAGAATATTAACACCAAGTGGACAGAAGTTAAAGTATCTGCAAATGCTTTTCGTTAGCTTGAAAATAGTTTTATCCGAACCATCCAAACCTTCGAACTTCACTATATGGTTGTAGTTTCTTATAGCATATCTTATAGCATCTTTGTCATCTACTATGGTTATTTTTGACTCAATAGGAGATAGAATAGTTTTGCCATAAATACTGTTCAGAATGAGCTTTATATTTTCTTGCAAAGGATTTCCTTCTTTCTTATACTTTAACCTTAACTCAAACAACTTCTTTACTTCATCTCTTATTCTTATATCTCTGTTTCCATCGTAATAGTATCCTTGCAACACTTCACATTTGACACCTTGATATTTTATGAGGTCTTGTAATGTTATATGGTCAACATACATTAAACAGCAAGTATTTGAACTTCTGGGAACGTTAAGTTCTAGATTTAGTTCAGGGTCACAAACTATTAAAGGAAAGTGTCTATGTATGCCAATCTCTTTTATCTTAATGAGAACAAAGAAGCCAGACATAAACTTTTCACCAATGGGTTCCTTTTGGTCGTCATCAAATAAATGTTTCATGAGATACTCTTTGCTTAACATTTCTTTCTTCATAACCTTTGGAATACCTTCTAAAGTATAAAGTCTTGCTATAGCTGATGGATATAATGAAACAGCGTCGAAATCAGCAATGAGTTTCTCTTTACTCTTTTGTTTAATGTTATCTGACAACATACATCTTCCACCTTGAATGCATCTCGAAATAAACTCTCTTGGTTTATTTGAGAGGTCATAAAGATTTCCATTCGGGAAGTACACTCTGTTCTCAAATAATTTGTTAGCAATTGAACAAATACTAACGTAGTCATAAACGTTTAAATCAAATTCTTTCAATATGTCATTGCGGAACTTAACAAAACCTTCTCTTAAAATTCTTACATCTTGTTTTGCAATAAAATGTACTATACTTTTCTAAGTCGAAGTGGTTCTCATCTATTCTGCAACCTTTGATGGAATCTATGTTTTTCATGAATGTATCTGCATCCCGGATAAACTTACATGCTTCAGAAATGACACCAGTTCTGTTGTCATTTGCTAACAAAGTACTGCTGTAGTAGTTGTATGGAAATACTTCTTTCGGTCCTGTTTGTAAGTTAAACATAGCAGGAAATAGTTTAGGCTTCTTATTTATAACACTGTAAGAGTCTTTTATAATAATTGCCCGTCCTTTATATAAGCCAGTTATTTGCATTGTTCGTGAACCTTTAATGATGGGAGTTCCTTTCACTTCTGTCATGTGTCTTAAGATGAAGTTTATGTCATAACTGAGGTTATGGAAATATATTAAACTCTTGTCAGGAAGTCGCTCCAAAAATTCTGTTGCACAGTTTTGACCCCATATGCTTTCACTCACTGAACCATCTTCACTGTCATAACATATGTTAAAAGCTTTATGAAAGCCATCGGTACTGCACTCAAAGTCAGCAAAGAAAACGTGCTCAGGAATGAACTTACATTTAGCTTTATTTACTTCTTTTGACTCTACTTTCTCCTTCAGTTGTACACAATACTTTGGAGCATATGACAAGTCTTTAAATGGTGCAAGGTTCTGTTTATATAAGTCAGTAGTATATGTGAAAAGTTCTCCATAAGAAATAGGTTCGAAATATATGCACTCCCACAATTTTCATAACATCCCATAGTGGTGTAGTTCTATCCATGCGAACAATGTATTTACCATCTCTCATTGTAATATTTCATCTGTTTTTCAATGTTCATTCCACCACACTCCTTCAAGATTTCTATATAGTTGCGAATGAAATATGTTGTCATTGGAAGTCTTTCATTTAGCATGTAGTGGTCTTCAACAAGAAGTAAGTCAATAGTTCGAACAGTTTTACATTCTTTTGGTATGTATCTCTTTATTTCATTATGTCTTGAGTCATTGAAATAACCAATGGTAACATTAAATGCTATACCTGTTGCGTCAGAAATTTCTTGTACTTTACTTTGAGGAAAGTCTCTAACACGAATGACTTCTCTCATGTGGTCAATAGTTTCTTCATTTACTCCAGCCTGAATGCAAGCATAAACGAAACAATTGTCCTCTGTCATAAGTGTTGCAGTTCTTTTGTTCAGTTCATTGAAGATTTGGTAGCGTTCAAGATTTATAGGTAATGTGCAAAGATACTTCCAGAACTGACCGCTTCTCTTCTTATAAAACTTCTTTTCACCATTATCTTTCCAAAAGCTTTCTATAAGTGCTGGGTTTCCTGTTTGCTTAAGAGCTTCCAAAATGGCTTTCTGGTCATTTGTCAGTGTGCTTTCATCTCTATATGGTCGCTTCTGTGGCTTTCCTTTCTTAACATCTGACATCGTTAAGCCTTCATATTCTGTTAAATCATACATCTTTATTTCAGTAAGATTCTTTATGTTTGTCAAGAAGAAGTCATAGTGCATTTCAACAATACCTGCAGCATTTGCTTCTATCTCTGATATAAAGTTCTCCTTCAAGAGCTGATGTAGTAATGTTCCAATATTATTGAGGTTTAACGTAGAACATTCATACTTTCCACCAAGTTTATAACATACCATCCATCTCTGTTGTGAGTTTATTTTAATTTTCTCTAAGAGTCTCATGAAAACCTTACCGAAATGTTTGTGTAAGTAGTCTCTGTTTGGTTCATCTAAAGCTTCGATATTAAAGTCAATGAGTCTATTGCCTGACTTCACATTTCTCTTCCTATTCTCTTCATCTTTCTTTAACCATCTCTCACCTTCTTTTGGTTTGTCGTCAATGGAACGAAGGACATCGTTAGCTTTGCGAACTAATTTTAAGTTAGTATGGTTATCTTGGGTACGGCGGCACTGCGTTCCACCTTACCCAAGATAACGGTTTGACACTTTACAAAACCGCTGACGTATATTTTACAACACAAACGACAACACTAACTTAACCTTAAATATTTACAAAACCGCCACCCACTTCACCTCACTAATGTTTTCACTAACGACTTCACTAATGAAAAAATAAACGTTCTCACTAACGTTCCCACTAATGTTCTCATTTACAAAAGTATTGCAGCGCTTCCCATTGCTGTGCTTCACACAATAGTTCATATTCTTCAGTATCGCTGCTGTCGCTCCAATCGTCAGAGTCAAAGTCACTGTCAAAATAAATGTTAGTAAGTTTTGACAAAGCTAATGAAACACGCTTACCGTTTGTATCTATTGCTTATATATCTCCCATTATGTTTGTTGTCATAAACGCTCAAACTAACTTTACCCTTTCTCCCTCGTATCTGATAGAATGTATTTTCACGAGGAACGAAGAACAAATTCTTGAACTCATGACGGTTGTAGTTTGTTATCTCAATAGTTTTCGTCATTTACATAAAAATAAACTTAAAAATAAACTTAAAAATAAATGATATCACTACCTTCACACGTATGAAAACATAGCACAAAAAAATAAATTTAGGTGAAGTGGTGAGATCTCACCTCTTTTTTTCACCCACTTGAATTCATTGCTTTATAACTCTCTTCCTTTCTCCAACTCTTCTAACTTCTTCCTAAGTTTAGCAATGTTGTCCTCATGAAGTTTAATCTTTCTCAAAATTCCTTCTTTATCTAATGGTTGCTTTATCTTTCTAAACTGAACTCTACCATCCTTCATAGTATGAATGTAAAAACCTTCTGGAATAGTTCCTGATTTAATGTATTCTACCAAAAACTTTTGTTTCATTGCTTCAGTGACTTTAGTCGTCATTTCAATCAAAAAAATTTTAATATTAAATAAAAATAACGTTATTTTTTCAGTAAGGAAACGCAGGAGTTTTACGATTTATTTGAGGAGTAGGTTCTAGTTTAAATGTTGGAGTCGGTTTAGGAGTTGACTTTTGAACAGGAGTTTGTACTTCCATAGGTTCAGGAGTCATTGAAGGTTTTGCTTGTGAAGGTGTTGGAGTTTGTTTAACTTCAGCTACTTCAGTATTATTTACAACATTTGCTTTATTTCTTTTCAACATCATAACTGCTCCTGCTGTAGCTATCAAACCTAGTGGGAGACCATATCTTATATAAGGACTTGACCAAATGCTATTTTTGACAGGAGCTGGTGGAACACCTAACCTTGGTGAGACTGCTCTTTGCCATTGTGCAGCTCGTAAGAAATATTCAATAGGTGCTCCATAATCGTTTGGTAAAGTTTGTTTCATAGATGGTGAAGGTTCACGAGAGCTTGATGAAGAACTCATTTATAAGCTTTAAAAAATAAACGTTCATCCTTTATTCCTCACTGTCGTCCGCGGCTAAGTTATAGTCATCTAATCTTATTATTGGGATGCCATTAGCACGCACCTGAATGGCAAAGCAACAATCCCTCATAAATCCAATAAGTGGCTTTGGTACATTTTCAGTTGCTAGTTCAATAGGTCCTTTAACAGACAATTTGTATGTTATTGGAGCTGTTGAAGTTTGACCTTGCTGGAAGCAAAAGTCCACTTCTGTTGGAAAACCACATAAGAAATGTGTGTTGTCATAGCTATCCCATTTATGTTCCACACTACCATCATCCACCAATGACCTCATAACATCTTCATTAAATCCTATCATATCATTGTTTGTATTGCAAGCGTTCGCAACCATTTCATTAAAATACAGGTCCATATGATTTTTCAGGTTCTGCAGGCATATTTCCATAAGCTCCCATGGAAAGCTGAAGATATTTAAACTTAGGGTTCTCAAAATTAACATAATAGTTGTCTTTCTTTCTAAATAGTGCCCAAATACTTTTAACATTAATAGGCGTATAAGCTGCTGTAAATGTTGCACTTGAACTATCTGTATTCTTTGAGAATGAACCGTCCATAGGAATCCAATCCATAACTTTAACAGGAAAACATAAAGCCTCGAAAGCCGCGTGGATAAGGGCTGACAAGGTCGGGAGAAGAGGAGGGCTAAAGAGAGAGACGGGGCGAAGAAGAAAACAGTCATGAAAAAGTCCAGCTTGGGCGAAAGAGTGGCGGGGGACAGGGGGAAGAGGAACGGGCCACTGAGCGGCTTACTGCGGCGGTAGCAGAGGTGAAGGGCAGTGCCAGGAAACAAATAGGAGGGCGGGAGGGAATGCTGAAGCAATAGGCAACGTTTAAGAGGGAAGGAAAGCACAGAGAGCAGTGACAGAGAGAAGGGCAGGGGAAGGGCGGCCTTACGTGAACTGGACTGTTAAGCGGAATGTGTCCGGCAAAAGCGGAAGGAAAGCGAAAGAACGCGTGTCGAATGAAGAAGCGTCGAACAGAATGCGGAAACGAAGCGGAAAAGCAAAGGAGTGGCCGGCGGAAGGGACCAACGAACAAGGTGGCCGGTCGGGATGTCCGAATGACGCCAGACACTTGCAGAGGCGAGGCGGGGAGAAGAACAGCGACGGTGCGTGTTTTGGTGGGGCGCAGGGGAGGGTGAAGTCGTAGGCTCGTCGCGCGGGGCTGAAGAATATACATACGACCAGGGGCAAGGATTGAGAGCCAGCAACGAGAGAACAGCGGCAGCCGGGAAACCCAATCCAAAAGCCGGGGGGTGTGGAGCGGAAACCTGGAAACCAAGGTCGGAGCTACAAGAAAGGGACCGGCCATGATAGAAGGAATGGAGTGGAAAGTCCAACAGATGTGCATCCACGGAGGGAGCAGAGAATGGGACCCATGGGGAGCTGTAGCCATGCCAGGGGGAGAAGCGGGGCGCAGAAGAGGGGCAGTTAGTGCACCAAGGGGAAAACGGCTGTCGAGGAGAGCAAAGAGGAGTCGAATCGATGAATGTAGACGTCGCGAGGAAAGTGCGGTGAACGGGCGGCGGCAGCGGGAGGCGGAGGAAAAAGACGCGGTACGGCAGAGTGCGCGCACGCAGTGCGGCGGCAGGCGCGCGGTGAAGGTCGTTGCGTGACATGCAAGGAACGGGACAGGGTCGGGCTGCCTCAACTGCGCGTGCACGTGGGGGCCAGGGCTGGACGTCGGTGGGGGGCAATTGAAAGCACGAAAACGGGCAAGAAGCCTGGCGTAGGTGAACAGACAGCGGCGGCTGGCTGCGGGGCGGGGGGCGCAGGGTGAACAGAAGGGAGCTGAGGGCGTTCGGGCGTGCGCCCGCGGGGCCCAGCACCTGAAGGGGGCGCTACGCGGGATCGCGAAGGTGAAACCTGGCGATCTGCCGAACATTAAGCGACCAGCGGATACCGCTTGACTTTACAGAAGAAAGATGTGAGTTCCGCGGGCGGCATGAAAAAGTAGACGCGCGCGCGGAGGGACCAAGCTCATGGGGACAGCGGTAAAGTGTGGTGTGAAGGGTGGGGGAGTCGTGCAGGAAAATGAACTGCAGACAAGCCCACCGGACAAGACCCAAGGGTCAATGTAGAGGAAGCATTGAAAGAAGAATGTCGTGAGCAAATGATTACCGAACTGAAGGACAAAAACAAGACACAAAAGCCAGAGAGGACCAAAGAGGAAAACTAGTTGAGAAAAACAACTAGACTGCATGAGCTGCGCTGGAAGACAGAAGAAACCACTTTGACTGGGCGAAAAAAACAGGATATGTAAGAAAAGCGGGAACAAAAAGCAAGAAGCTGATAGCAAAGAAAGAGGTGAAAGTGTATTGGATCGCGAAACTAAATGGAGAGACAAAAACCTTGACGTTGTGGCGGCAGTAGGTGGAAGAACCCGACGTCAAAAGAAAGGGGGAACAGAAGAACGTTGTAATGATGCCAACAAGACGATGTGGACATGAAATGGATGAGAAGGACATTGGGCATAACACGATGGTGATATAACACTTGCGTGGCTTGGCAGAAAGGTGTTATACTTCAGACGAGACACTAGAAGAAAAGACGAACCAGTCTTTGAAGCGCCCAAAACATTCACATAACAAAAGACTTTAAAGCACGAACAAACATGTGTGCAATTGATTCAGGATTGGTCGCATTTAATGCAGAGATGGTGCCGAGAAAAAAGCGTTAAATGCAAGATACAAAAGGCTGTACAGCACGTGACGTGAAGTTTGCTGGGCACAACTGAAAAGAAAGAAAGGAAGTCAGCCACAACTCGAAGACGGGGAGGAGAAGGAAGGAAAAGGAAAGTGAACGCAGGACTGCAGGGGGGTATAGAGCACCAGTCAAGAAGGAGCGAAAAAAGAAAGAAAAAGCCAACGTAAAGATGCAAAGCGGCGGAACCAAGGATGGAAGCGCAAAAAGTGGGTCAAGAGATGCTCAAGCGGCGAGGAAAAAGAGGGGCCGAAAGGAGATGTGTCCAGGGAGAGTGGGAGTAGAAAACAAGCCAAGAGAGAGGCACACCCGAAGGAAAGGAGGAAAGCAGGAGGCAGTGGCAGAACAAGAAAGTGCACCAGGAACACCAAAGCCGAAAGAGACAAACACCCACACGGCGTCAAGCGGAGGGGGGGAGACACTGGACGTTACAACGCAAGACCAGAAAGCACCAGGTGGCGGGCCGTCCAACCCACTGAGAAAAGATGGGTAACAGGAAGCGTGCAACGTGCTGTGTAAACGCGTACCAGAGCAAAGGAAAAAGCGGGAGCGAGGGGTGATGGGCGGAAAAGTTGGGAGGTGAGGGAAAAGGCAGCGGAAGGGGAAGACCGGGGGGGAAACACTTAAGGTGCGGACAACGACGAGTGAAAGTTTAACCACCAGAAGATTCCACACAAGGAGTAAAAAAAGCGACAGGAAAAAAGTGTGAGGGTGGAAGGAGAGCGGGAAGGAGAGGGTTATGGTGAAACGGGCAAAAAATTACGGCAACACAAACTGGTAGAGCAGCAACAAGGCATTACGGAACCCAGACCCAACGACCGTTCAAGGCGTAACCAGGATAAAGCAGAGAACATAACAGAAGAAAGAGAACAATGGAAAGATATACGAGGAACAGCACAACACAAAACAATAAAAACAGGGGAATAGCAAATGAGAAATGGGAAACGAGCTAGAGAAAGGGGGGAAACACTCCAAGGAAGGTAAAACAGAGGGAAAGTACAAGGGCGAGGAGGGAGACGAGGACCCAGAACAGACCGCGTCGAGCGGGAAGGGAATGTCCAGAGAGAGAGGCGTGTCATGGAATGGGAAAACAAGAAAGGTGGGGAACGCGGGATGGAAAGGCTGAGAAAACGGTTAGGAAAACGAGCAACAAGCGATCAAGACATAGGGCAGTGCAAAACGGCAAAGAGAAGCTGGGAGAGACCGCACGGCGGATAACAAAAAGAAAATGAAGAACGGAAGTCAAATAGTAGGGTAAGGCGGACGTGCGGAAGAGATGTATATATATGTACGGAACGGGGCCAAAGCGAAGTGGTAGCAGACGGACAGAAGGCAAAAGCCAACAGTGGACCGGTCAAAGGCGAGGATTGTTGCAACGATATCGCAGATGCGTGGCATAGGGGCCAACAGGGGGAGGGGGGGGGTGCCGGCGGTGCGGTGGGGGGGGGGGGCGTGGGGGATCCCTGCGAGGGGGTGGGGGGGGGGTCAGGTGCAGGAGGAGGGGGGGGGTGGGGTCAGATGGGGGAATCGGGAGGGCTCGGGTGGGGGGGGGGGGTGGGGGGGGGGGGGTGAGGCTGTGTGGCAGGGGCGGGGGTCGCGGCCGGGGGGGGTAAAGTGGCAGGGTGGAGGTCCGGGCGGCGTTGGGGTGGGGGGGGGGGGGTGGGGGGGGGGGGGGGGGGTGCGGGGTGGGGCGGGGGGGGTCGGGGGGGGTTGGAGGGGGGGGGGAGGGGGGGGGGGGGGGGGGAGGGGGGGGGCGTGAAGAAGTGGGGGGGGTCGTGTTGGCGGGGGGCGGAGCGGGTGGGGGGGTGTGGGGAGGGTGGGGGGAGGGGGGGGGGGGGGAGGCGGGGGGCGGGGACGGGCGGGGGGGAGGGGGGGGGGCCGGGGGCGGGGGGGGGGGGAGGGGGAGGGGCGGGGGGGGGGGCGGAGGGGGCGGGGGACAGCGGAGAGGCGGGGACGGCGAGGGGCCGAGGGGCGAGGGGGGGGGCCGCGGGCGAATGGGCAACCGGGGGG